GCAGCCACAGCTTCTCTGGGCACCCTGTGCCAGCACCTCAGCACCCTCATGGTACCACGTTTCTCCCCTATGTCCAACCTCATCCCACCCTTGTCCAGTTTAAACCCATCACCCCTTGTCCTGTCCCTGCAGGCCCTGGTCAAAAGTCTCCATCTTTGCTCTAACCCCCCTTAAAGTCCCGAGTGGCCACAGGAAGGTCTCCCATTGTGCAGTACTTCTGCTGTGATGTTTACTGTGGGTTTTCTTGTTTTCAGTCTTCCTTTTTACCTGCCATTGCTGTTGGGTTTTCCATCAGGTCCTGTCAGCCTTTCAATCTGTGGTGTGTGAAAGGACTGTTCGTTTTTCTAGCAGATGTGCCTTCTGGAAGGATTGGTGCTGAGGTTCCTTTATATGGCCTAGGCAAGAGCACCAGGGAAATGTCACTCCCACTGAAGCATACATAGCCATTTGAGCAACTTGGTCTAGTGGAAGATGTCCCTTCAAAACCAACACGTCCTGTAAGTGTCTGTATGCAGTGCAGCCTGGTTTGAAGGAGAACCATTTTATGAACGACCCTGATTTTCATGTGTTGATCCTCTCCTGGTGACAAGGGCTGTGTGATCTCTGGTGCCACCTGTGCTGCCTCCTCTGCCCAAGGCTTCCCTTCTCCTTTTGCCAGCAGCTTCCAGTTAGTGGGAAGTATGGTACAGACCTCATGGTCACCGCTGGGCATCATCAGGGCTTGACAGTCAATTACAGAGTGCTTGGTAGATGCAAAAGCTTGGTGGTGATCCTGGGAGAATCCTCTCTTGAGTGCTGACCCTGGTGAATACGTGACAGAGGGGAGAGGAGAGTGTTGTGGCTGCCACTGCCTGGGCAGCACACGTGGAGCTCTGCTCTGCACAGGAGCCGTAACAAGGATGCTGGCACCGTCGGAAGGGTGTTAGGGTGAGTTTCAGGTGAGGTAAAAGCCTGCGTGCTGGTGTTCCCCCAGATTGTCCTTCAGCCACGACTGCAGATCTGTAAAGTGTTGACCCTAAAGTAATGGTGTCTTTCTGGTAGATCATAGTCCGTGTTCTAGAGCTATGGGAGGGGGTCCGTGAGCTCAGCCTTGCCCTCTGCAGGGCTGGTGGCGTCTTTCACCTCTGTCATTTGTTCTTCATAGTTTAATGGAATTTTACCTGCCTGCTTCTGAAAGTGAGCTTTGGAGTTGACCACGGCTCTGAGAAAAGGGCTGGGCTTCGAGCCAGAGGGCAGGAGCGTGATTCTGCAGCAGTGAAAGCCAACACCTAAGGACAAAACTCTTGGAAATCTTGCTCTCCCTTGCACTGCTGGTGTTGGGAATTGGAAATGCCTGCCGGCTTTAGCAAATGCTGAAGTCATTTGTGCCTTGAACTTTTATTCATCAGGAAGCTGTTAGTGGGAAGTATGGGCTGCTTTGGTGATTATTAGGATCATAGGATCAGAATTATTCACTTTGGAAAAGACCTTTAGGATCATAGAGTCCAGCTGCTGATCCAGCACTGCCAAGTCCACAGAACTGCTGCTCAGTGGCTGAGCCCATTGCTCCTCTGCCCTGGTGCAGCTCTGCTGCCGGTACCCGCTCCGCAGATGGATCTGGACGTGGTCACATTCGTCTGCAGCGCTAACAGAAGAGGGCAGGAGCTAAAGCCTGCACAGCCATTGCTGAGCTAATAGAGAGCTCACTGCGCCCTGCTGCAGCTCGCCCTGCCTGTCGCCTTCTGCTTTTTGGAAGAGAGCAGGCTCTGAGTCTGTTCAGTTGGTTTGTGCTCTCTGCTGTCTTCCTGGAAGTGCCTGCAGAGGGAACAGGGCTGGTTTGAACCAGAGGGATGGAATCTGCTCAATAAGTAATTTATCAGCAGTGTGGTTGTTGCAAAACCCACAGGAAACCCCATGGCTCTGGACCATCTTCCCAGTCACTGGCCTGTTCTGCAGGGTGGGCAGAGGAGGGTACGGCACTTCTGCTCGGCCTCCTCCTGGGGTTTCAGCCCCTATGGAAGAGCACCTTTAACCCCGCGGGGCCCTGGCAGAGGCTGGAGGAGCTCTGGCTGACCTGCCCTCCCCATTGCTCCAGAGGCACCAGGGAGGCAGTGGCTCCCCGAGCCTGGTGTGCTGCCGGTGCTGCCTGGTGCTGCCTGGCCCCTGCGGCCTCGAGAAGTAAACCCTGCAAAAGAAGGGTTATCCTCACCTACACTGTGTGTGGGGTGAAAGCCCAGGGACCCTGAGTCCCCTGTGCTGCCTGAGAGTGCCCGAAGCAGGAGTGGGTCTCATAGAATCACAGCCTAGTTTGGGCTGGAAGGCATCTTAAAGCTCATCCAGTTCCAACCCCCTGCCATGGGCTCACATGCCTTCCACTAGAGCAGGGTTGCTCTAGGCCCTGTTGATCAAACCCCTCTTGTTCTTCCGCTCTGGACATGCTGGTGGCAGAGCACCCGTCCCCAATACCAGTGACGTGGGGGTGATCAGCACTGCCATGTGGTACCTATATCAAAGTGGGGAACACCAGTGACCCACCAGAGCTGCAGGGCTTGTTACCTGCTGTAAGCTGGTTTTAGAGGCAGGCTCTAGAAAGGTGCTTAGACTTACTGCTTTTTGCTGTGGCTGTTTCCTCTCCCCCTTTAAGGAGTCTTGATGCAGCATTTGCTGCCTGAGGTTGCAGTGTGTGTGCCTGGCGGATGCAGAGATGGGGGATGCAGAGATGGAGGATGGCCATTTCGGCAGCCGGGAAGCACTGGGAGGATGATGTGCACTGTGTGCTTATGTGGCATTGGGACTGCATGCTGCTTGACTGTCACTGGCAAGCAAGCCCAGGCTTTTGAAGGCTGTGAATTATTTGCTGCTTGTATTAAGCAGCACCAGAGGGTAGCTTTGACCTAGATCGGAGCTTTCCATGTGGCTTTGAAAACCTGGGATGCTCACAGCTGGGATGCAGGAAGCCAAAACACTGTCGGCCGAGTGGACATTTTAGGTGTGCTTAGGAAGAGTATTTTGGTTTTGTTTCTGCTTTGGCAGCAGTGTATGTGAAAACACTTCAAGCCAGGGTGAGAATGCCTGTGAGAGCTGGCAGTGTGCCTGGGCTGAGCTGCGGATGGACAGAGATGCTGGGAGCATCCTTCAGTGCCTGCAGGCTGGTGGCATCTCCTCCCCCTCGAGTCCTGCTCAGCCCCTCAGCCAGTGCTGCTGCTGTCCTGCACAGGGTATGGTGCTGGGTATGGTGGGGCCCTGCGACCACCCTCACGCTGTGTGTTGGAGGCGGCGGTGGCAGGGAGGGTGTTTCCAGTGACGTGGGTTGGACAGATGGTGCCCTCCCGAGCAGCCGGCTCCATCTCTGTCATTTCCTCTTTGCAGGGCTCCCAGCTGGGCTTTTGTGCTCCTCGTGCTGTGCACTGTGGGGCAGTGCCACGTCCTGCCCTACATAGCCATCACCCCACCAGTGCATCAGCACGCTGCTGTGCCCCAGGGACCGGCTGCCTTCAAATGAGCACTCAGACAAGGTGTGCTGTCATCCTGGCAATGCCGGAGATGGATGACTCGCTGCAGCGTCCTGGGGTTTGGCCTTGCTCTGTGAGGAGCAGGAGAAAGATGTCTCTGGATCTGATGGCAAAGCAACAGACAACACAGCCACTCAAACCCCGACAACAGGCACTGCAGTCACTGCAACCACAGTGAAAGACACTGCAGCTGCTCCAACCCCAGTGACAGACACTGTGGGTGTCCTTCACTCAGTTGAAGTTGTCTTTCACTCAATGTTGCTGAGGTCCATCAAAATCTAAATGCACCAACCCTTTTCCAGTCTGGTGGCTTCTGCCGTGTCCCTGCCTTACTGGGCAGGCAGCTCCTGCCTGCTGACCCTGGTGTGGGGGCCTGGTTGTGGTCAAAATGGACAGATTCTGGACTCCTGGTTTCTTTGTGTTCACAGAGCAGTGGGGTGAGGGCAGCACCGCTCCTGCTAGTGCTTGTCAGGGTGAAGTTTGCACTGGAATCGTGGTAGCTCTCCAATCTTCGTATCTTTGGTTAAGCATTTCACTTAGTGGTTACCAAAGGGAGCCATGAGCAGTGTAAGGCTGAAAGCTGAGGTCTCCCCTGGCTGACTCCCCAGCTCAGTCACCCTAAGTTGAAAGACAATGTACGGGGGAAGGATAGATATTTCATCTGGCTTATCTCAAGGTGAGCGGCATCTCTCTGGAGACCGCACTGATCAGCTCTCTGCAACGTGCGGAGGGGCCACAGGGTGACGTGTAACCAGCTGCAAAATGTGGTACAGTTACGAGATGAGCAGAGACAGTTCTCTCTTAAATCTTCTCCATTCCACTGGTTCCTTCTCTAGTGAAGGTGGAGTAAAGGGAAACTTTTCCACCCCATTAATTTTCCCTTTCCCTCCATCATGTATCTGTTTTGGATAATACTCTTTTAAATGTCACCTTATACAGAGGACTGTAATTTTTCCTTCTCCTGTGATCTTGTGTCCTCTGCCTTGCTGGGACAGGAGGTGTTTTCATTTCTGGTGACAATGACACACATGCTTCAGCAGACAACCCCTCATTTGCTTGCTGTGGCTTTACTAGTTCTGTTGTATTCTCTATTCTCTCCCACCTCTTCTGCACTCTGCAGCATCCCTTGTGCTTTCTCCTTGCAGCATCCTTCACATTCTTCCATTGCAGCATTCCTTGTGTTTCCCAACACTGCTGTTTGCAGAGGCCTTGTGCTCACGCACAGCCGAGGATAGCTCATAACGTTACCCAGCTCTGTAAATGCATGGGTGTCACTAGCAGTGGTGTTTTGCATTGTGCCTTTATTGATGGAGCTGGCCATCTGCTGCTTTCTTGGTGTCCGTAAGTGCTCTGGTGCCTGGGGTGTCCCATGCTGTGGCTGGCATTTGCCCCAGCTCCTGGCAGCAAGTGAGCAGAAGAGAAAGGGAAGATGCCCCTGAGGGGCTCCTGAAGTGGAGTTGCAAACTTGGCAGGAAGCACTTGTTGATGCCTCTCTTCGTGTCGTTGCAGGCGAAGGACAGTGATGATGACGATGAAGTCACCGTCAGTGTGGACCGGGACCGCTTCATGGACGAGTTCTTCGAGCAGGTGAGAGGGTTTGTTTTTTCTCCAGTGCAGCTCTAAAGTGAGCTCAGACCTTTCTGTTAGCACTGGAGGGGGCTGTGGGGCTGTGGTCCAGGCTCCCACCGCCAGCAGGGAGCAGCAGTAGAGGTGGGGAGGGGTCCCTGATGCTGCTCAGCTGGTGCTGGGGATCCTTGGGGGTTGCGCTCAGTGTGCCAGTTAGCAGGAACCAGGCTTCCACGCAGACCTGAGGCTGTCTTGTGCTTACCTGGCCCTATGGATGCTTTGCTGCTCCATGTGCTCTTCCAGACACCAGTGGTGCTGTGGAGCCCGGGGGCCTTGAGCTGCCCAACCTCCAGCCTGCTGCTAAAGCTGACCAGCTCCCAGACTGCTCCTGGAGGCATCTCTGCAGAGTAGCAGTGTCTGCATGGGATTGGTTTAATTTTGTGCTTCTCGTTACCAAACAAGAGGTTGTCTTCTGGCATGTGGGTGGCTGTAAGATCTGCATGCAGATTTTTAGCACGCCCTTAGCATGGCATGTGTGTAGGGGGTGTTAAAATGTATCTGTGCAGGCAATGAAGTGGGGAATGACAAAAAACTCATATGCAGATGGAGGAAAATGAGCAAAGTTGTGGTGTGAGTCGAAGGAGAAGACAGAGCTGGAAGGTGGGCAGCCCAGCAGGCAGAGGGCACAAGTAGATGTTCCCCTCTCACCAATACTGGCATGTCTCCTGGTTGAGAAGTGCAGGGAAGATGCCGGCATGGGTTTGCTGGCAGTCATGGCCTCCCTGGCCTGTGGGATGAGGGTCAGGCTGGGCTTATCAACCCCTGGAGCAGAGAGCCATGGGGGACTGAGCCTGTCTTGTGCAGCCTCAGTAGTGCTCTCCATGCAGAGGAGCAGTGTCTGGGCATCCATAGTTCTGATGCTAATTTAAATAAACCCCAAATGTTTCTCACTGCATCACAAAGAATATAGGACAGAGCCTTTATGTCATTGTTGTGAGTGCAGAGCTGCTGCTGTGATGTGGAAGGTCTGTTTTCACAGTGGGCCTACAGTTTGAGAGTCCAACTGGAAAATACTTGTCCAGGAGGATGTTTGCTGTGGTTCAGATGTGTTGTGGTTGCTTTGGGATAGAGGTTAATAATCCCTCCCCTTCCCAGAGGCGCAGGTATCTCACAGGAGACCTCTCTGGTTGTCCCATCTCCACAGGTGGAAGAAATTCGAGGGTTCATTGATAAGATTTCAGAGAACGTGGAGGAAGTGAAGAGGAAGCACAGTGCCATCCTTGCCTCGCCTAACCCCGATGAGAGTGAGTGAGCTGCGAGCTCCGTGTCCCCGTGGGCACGTGGCTGCATGGGGCTGGGCCACTTGTGGGGTGGATGTAATCAGGCAGAAGTCCTCGTCTTCAGTGGCCATAGCTGGAAAGCCACCAGCTGCCAAGGTGGCTAATGGCTGGGTGAGGAAGGGCTTGGACCTGCGTGGGGATTTGGAGGGATGGCTGGTGACTGTGGTGTTGAGAGGTGGTGAGGGTCCGGAGAGGCTGCTGGAGGGAATTCCTAAGGGTGGAGGATGAAAAGAGCAAACGGCTGGTTGTGTGCTGGTTGGCCATTGTCTTGCCCCAGGTTGCCTGGGGAGGGGATGGGGAAGAGGCAGCAGTTAGGGAACAGGCTGAGCATCGCCTGCTTGGCCCAGGAATGGTGCAGTTCACCTTTGAGAGTGCACTTGTGACCTGACCTTCCTTGTCTTGAAGGACATTTCGTTACTGGCTGGCCAGAGTCTGTCCCTTCCAGGGCACTTGTCTCTAACTGAGTTGTTTCTGGAGCTCCCAGGAGGTTGCTGTACACACATTTTCTTGTGTCCAGCCCTGGGACAAATCAATAGATACTGAAAATTGCTTGGAAGAACTCAGTGCTTGCAAAATTGTCTCATCCTCCCCTCTCCTGGCAGCTGCTCCTCAGCTAAAATGTACTTGGTCAAGCCTGGAAATGAGGGATCTTCTCAAGGAAATTCACGTGTCTCAGACTGCTGACAGTGATCCCTCAGGCTCTGTTAGACTGCACTCGCACTGGAAGGTTTTGCAGTGTCTGTTTGGGTGTTTTCAGAGGAGAGCTGTTACTGCTTTGCCTCTGGCTGTTGGGCTCATACGGCATGCACTGGCACAGGGACTGCTCGGGGCTGAGCCCCAGCTCAGGCTGCAAAGGGCATTTGTGGCCTAAAAGCATAATAATCTATTTAAAAGTCTGAGATCTGCAGTGAGCAGGATGCGGTGACATTGGCATGGCTTCCAGAAGCATCCAGGACGTTGGAAGTCCTCATGGTTTTGTTTTACGGTGTTACCTTGCCTTGGTATCATAGAAAATTCAGTTTATAATGCCAAAACCCATTTGGGCAGCGAAATAAGAGCCCACACCTTGTTTACAGGTTAGTGTTTTGGATTATTGTGATGTGTCCGGGAGGTGCTGGGTCTGATGGATCAGGTGGGTGTGATCACAGGGGTAGGTACGCTGGTGGAACTGCAAAAACACAGCACTGCACCAGCTACTAAGAAGGAGAAAAGTAACTGTTAGAGCTGAACCCAGCCCCTAAGTGGATGAGACCTGTGATGACAGTCAAGGCAAGACGTTGCTTTCTGCAGAGGGAAAACTTGTGCAGGATTTGGGGTGCTGCTTCTCCCCCCTGGAACAGCACCTTAGTTACTTACTAGCGATCTTTGTGCACTGCAGCATCATGTGAAACCTTCACTACAAGATGATGGCTAGTCACCCTCCAGGGTATCAAAAGAAAGGCACAGACTTCTCATTCTTGTCTGGAAGCAGATGTGCTCTGTGTGGTGCAGCTCAGTTTGGTGTGAGGTTGTAGCTTTTCCTTAAGCACCACTGGCAAGTCCCTCTTACAGCTGGAGGACATTGGAGTGGGGCTTCAGAAGATCAGGGCAGAGCTGGGCTGGTAATTTGGGAACCAGATGAACAGTGGTTGGAGTTGCTCTTGGAGCACTGAGTGGAGAGAGGGAGGGAGGGAAGGAGGGAGAAGGATGTACAACATCTGCTGGCTGAATCCATCGCTGCTTTTTCAGGGTCACTGATAGGCTCCACAGGTACAATCCTACTGGAATCTGTTTCTTAAATGACTGTGTGCTAAGGCAGATGTAAGCTCTTGATGCTCTCCTGCACGTGTTCTTGCATAAGAAGGTGAGGTCCAGGTGTCTGTGTCTGTATCTACCCACCTGCCTGACACAGGATGAAGGTGCTGGGCTGGATCCACGTCGCACAGAGAGCTCATCCCTCGTCTCCCATCCCCTACCTTCCTGCTGATCCCTATTGTGGCTGCACAGACTGTTCCTGGATCCATGCTGCCACTGTTGCCTAGGCTTATTTTGGTGCCTGGTGGGTGGGCAGCTGGCTGGCTTTGCCATCATGCCGGTGAGGTGACAGCCCCTGCCTGCCTGCCTGTCCTTGCAGCTCCAAGTTGGGCAGCATCCTGTCGGGACTTGGATGGGCTCAGAGTGGCCAAGGGGCTGTATTCCTCCTTGGCTGCTGCTACTTCTGATTTGAGTTGCAGTCTTGGTAAACCTGCTCCTAAAGTCCTTCCTGGTGAGCTGCTGCGTCTGTTGTTGCTCCTGGCACTTGCGGCAGGCTGTTCATCCTCAGTCCTTCGTCTGAGGCACTTCCCAGAGGAGGTGGCTTTGAGTGGCAAGTCGCCAGCTGGAGAGGAATGAAGTAATGGTTTTGTTGGGGTGTTTTTCTGGGGTGGTTGGGAAGGACTTCTCTGCCATTCGCCTCCTCTCTGTGTTGCATCTTCCCTGTGCCCTCGTCGCTGTGTTACGTGATGGATGCTGTTTGCTGAATAAATTGCCTCTGGGAATATAAATCTTCAAATCAAAGTCGTGTCTTTCAGCCTGTCCACTGAGCCCATCTCCACAGGCTTCAGAAGACCCAGATCTGGAAGCGGTCCCATTATGGCTCTGCACCAGGATGGATGGGGGGCTCAGTTCCATGTACACTTGACCTCCAGTTTCATATTTTAAGCTGTGCAGACTCAAGGTGGTGGCTTTAGGCCCAGGTCCTGGGTGACTTTGTTCAGGCTCTCCATCTGCTGGAGAAGGTTTGAGTTATTTAGAGAGTGGTTTCTGTAATTCCTAGCAGAGAGATGTGCCCTCACCTTGGGACTGGTGCACCATGAGAGAGTGGGGGTGCTGCTTGCACAGGCAGGAGAGGAGTATCTTGGAACTGGTCTTGTCACCGTAAAACCTCTCTCGCAGCGCTGGGTACCCTGGCTGTGAGCCCTCTTCCAGTTTCTCCTCCACATCTTTATTGGTTGGGGTACATCGTTCTCAAATGTGGGCACCCAGACTGGCTGCAGCACTCGGATCTGTTCACTCCAGAGGACAACACGGCAGAACCTGGAATTCTGCATTCTGACCTGCTCCCGGGGGTGCAGCACGATGCTCTCCAGCAGACCTCATGCAATCCCAGCTTTGCAGCTAGATCTCAGCCTTCTCTTGCTAAATCTCCATTGTCTCAGTGTTGACGCGGGGGGATAATCTGTTATTTGCAGAAATGAGTTTAGGAGGGCTGATATGAGCAAGCCATAAATCCTGTTACTGTGCTTTGCAGGATTACTGTGGCACTGCTGCATGCTGTGGCATGGGGAAGGCTTTCTAGGCATGCCAAGAGCAGGGGAACAGCCAGGAGAGAAGGGCAGGGGTGCAGGCAGGAGGTAGAGGAGAGTGGCCAGAGGTCCTGTCATTTCCTGGGTCCCCAGCATCGTTCTGTGGGCACTGCTACAACAAGGGGCTCCTGCTGTGGTGGTGGAAGAGTGTCCAGATCTATAGCTAACTTGTTGGTAGTTGAAGATGTCAGGGGTGATGTGCACAGCTGTGTTCCAGGTGGAAGGAAGGGGAGGAGAAGGATTTGATTAAAGTTCAGATTTTAGGCAAGTGGTGGGAGCAAGCAGGATGGAGCAGGAAATCCAAGTGCTGAAGGACCCTGAGAGGTTTTACAGTGGAGAAACAGGAGCACAGCAAGAAGTGAGGTGAGCTGGGTCTGCTGGAGGAGGAAGGGCAGGTACCTTTCATGGGTGCTGTTGACTGGGCTTGTTTGGTAAGCAGTCATGGGCTGAGGAGTGGAGGCTGTGGCTTCAGCACAGGAGACTTTATGCTAGACCAGCCTGTAGTTTGTTAGAAGTGGCTGCTCTTATCCATTGGGCTGTGTCATGTCCAGGCTGTGATAGCTGGAAACACAGAGTTCCTGGTTCTGCTCTGTTGTCCTGGAGTGAACTGATGCTAGTGCTGCGGTCAGTTGGGGTGTCCACAGTTTGAGAATGATGTGCCTCAACTGATGAAGGCGTGGAGGAGAATCTGGGTGAGCGACCGAAGGGCTGGCAGGCAGGGTACCCAGTGCTGGGAGAGCAGGTGCAGGGAGCAAAGCCCTGATGGTGTCAGCAGCACCCTGCTGGAGAGTGGGTTTGATGTCAGGGTAGGTGGCTCACCGCTGGGATGGGGTGCCTGTTGCATCCCTGACAACTTCAGTGGAGTCACTGTCCATGGAAGTGTTAATGAACTGTGCAGGTGCCCTCAGTGCCATGGGTTAGTGGTAGGCTTGGCAGTGCTGGGGAACAGTTGGACTGGATGAGCTTAAAGGGCTTTTCCAACCTGGTTGATACTGTGATTCTATGACAGCGTGGCTGGAAGTTTGTGAGATACCTACAAACTTTTTACTTCTGCATAATGACCACATAAAGACACCTAGAATCAGACTGTAGGATAGTGCAGACCAGTTGTGCTGGCCCAGTGCACGGCAGTGGGTCTGTGGGGCTTGTGTATTTGCACCGAGAGGGGCAGAAACCGCCACGCTCAAAGAGTGGCAAATCAAGGAGAATGCTGAAAGTAGAGAGAATCTGCACTCTTGGCTTGGAGACCCAAACGGGTATCTTACCCAGTACTCAAAAATAGTGTACAGGAGCAAGGCCTTATATTGCAGTGCAGTAAGGCAAAAAATATTCTTGAGGGAAGGTTTGGAACAGAATCCCGTTCCTTTTTGAAAGGCAGTTAGCAGCGTGCTGCTGTACATTTAAATTGCTGCAGTAATCAAGTGCTTGAATCATAGAATGTTGCTCCAAAACTTTTCAACGCTCGTTTTAGGAGAAAATACTCAGACAGAAAGCATCTCCTGTTTCCCTGCAAGCTCCCCCCCCAAATCCCAGTGTTTTGTGCCTCACAACACCGCCCACCGGCACCATGTAGCTCCTGCCTACTCTGCTGACAGGACACGTCGCGCCAGCCCCCTCTGCCTGGTCTCTGCCCACCACACT